GGGCCGGTGCCCTACCCTTTTAAGCCACAGGCGCCGCCCTATATAGAAGATCTTAACACATTTAAAACCTGCTGATTTTCATTCTGCTGGAGCTAAAGTGGCTGCAGCATCCTATAGGAAGAGCCTCAGCCCATCCACATCAGATCACGGTCCTGATTTCACTGTTAACTTATTATGTGACGCAGGATAAATCCCCAACCTCTCCCGGCCTCACATCTTCATCTTTAAAATGAAATTTTGTCTCTGTACTCAAACCACATTTGTTATTCCCAGTGGCATCAAGAATATCCTTCTATTCTTCCTAACAGTGCTGTCTTTTCTTCTATTTTTTTCCTTTATAAATTCAATATCTTCCCTTGTTCTTATTTTGAGTTGCTGTTATTTCACTTTGATATGAAAGTAGGATAAGTTTATGACAACCTGGATAGCCTTGGGCTATAGGACTCTCCCAGGAGAAAGAAAGTCCAAAAATCCTGTATTCAGATTGTCTGGGGATTGGACCCGAGATATTATAACCTTACATAAGCTAACTTTTATTTAGACTCTTCTAAATACTGAGGGGTGCATTTTACCAAAGCTACACTGCAGATTGATTTAAGAGAGGGGGAAAAAGAAGAAATTAGGAAGAAATTAGGAAGAAGAAGAAACTTGCCCAAAGTTATGGTTCTTCCTTTAAGAAGAAGAACCTCATTGCGGGTTTCCTTCCCCCTCATTTCTGATGTGACAGTCTCCACTAGGAAAATTGCCAGGAAAAGTTAAGAAGGATTATTTGTGCCATCTGAAAACTGAGTTCACTCACATGGCATTAATAAAGCATTCCATTGCTGGCCCTAAGTTGCCATAAGGAAGCCAGACATGGGCTCTGAGCTCCCAGTCAGGCTATCAGAACAGTTGGGCCATGACATGTTGTGACAAGAACAGCATGGTCCTGGGGAAAGGGGAGATTGTGACAATAACCTGGCATTGCTATCCTTGTGTGTTTCTGCCCCATGACTGATTGGATCTGGCAGCATCTATGGGCCACAAACTTTCCCCAAGGAGATGCAGCTGCTGCTGAAATGGCTGCTGCTATTGCAGGTAACTGATCACATACTCACTGTGAAAGCCCTAAATGTCCTACTTCCATCCAGATTTGCTCCTGTTGGTTAAGATGTTACCAGTGGAACATCTGTGTTGAATTATGATAGAACTAGCAAGGGAGATCCAGAAAGACTCTCCAGGGTCTCTTAGATGAGGAAGCAGGAGCCCTTTGATGTGATGTCACTCACATAAGTCATACAGCAAATAAGTGGCTGAGGTGGAACTAGATACTATCTTTACTCTCAGATAATATTATCTTAGAGGGCCAATGCCAACACATTTTTGCCAATAACAGTTACTATATCAAATTGAGTAGCTTTCTCCTAGAAAAGAACAGAGAGCCCCAAGGAAATGGAGCCCAGATAAGGTGAATTTTGAAATAGAAAAATAAGTACAGAAAGGTGTAAATCAGAGGATTATAAACAATGGAGACACTGAGAACTTGGAGAAAATGTTCCCAAAGAGTATTAAGTGCAAAATATGATATGATGGTAGTATTGGCAGTGGTAGTGATGGTGGTGATGATGACAGTGGTGGTGATGGTGATGGTGTTACTGGTGGTGTTACTGATGGTAGTACAACTTTCAATAATAACTCATTCATTTCAGAATTATTTATTGAGAATCTGCCAGTCTAGACACGGGGGAACAATTGCAAATAAAATTTCATTTCTGCCTTCACACAGTTTACAGTCAAGGAAAGGAGACAGACTACTAAATAGAATATTTCCACACAGCTTAGCAAATTCTTTGCTGGAAATGGGCACAGGATTATAGGGAAAGGTGAATCTCTCAAATTTAGCTCAAAGTTTTCCCAGGACTAAGCATGGGCCTAATCAAGTGTTGGAATATTAGATCAAAAGATAGAAGAATGGCTCACAAAGACCCATATCAATATTAGAACATGCTACTACAGAAATCCTTTC